CGGCGCACATAGCTTGCAAAATGGGCACGGAGATGACAGGCCTGCATTCACCTGGTTCCACATGCTGCCATTTGCGATCGATCTGCCAAGCAGGGGTCATGTGAGCCCTGTAAGCGGGAAAAGCATCTTGAGTAGCAGTGATTGCGTAGACCAAAAGATACCTTGGGTAACCCGCAGAGAACAAGTACAAACCGTAACCCCTGAGAGCAAGAGCCAACGAAGCTGGATCTAAGCACAAGCGATCGAAAGAGACAGGTAGCTCGGAGGCGACCCAAGTCTTGAAGGCTTCGAAGCACTTCTTCATCCGATCCGCGGTGGCCGCTGTAAAGCCTGACCGGAGGTCGAGAGGACCTCGCGGAACCAAAGGCCGAGTGCGAGAAGGTCCTGGGTTCCTCTCAATGTCGCCTCCCAAAAGCAGCAGCAGACGAAGCCAGCGAGCAGCAAGCTTCGGGGCCCGGCTTGCTGCACACATGACATCAAACCTCCAGGTTCTGCCTGCACATAATTCAGTGTACCAAAGAGGCACTTCGCGAGTCGGGGCCTCGACAGGGGCGGTTCCGTGACGGCCCGTCTGCCCGATTAGCAGCTGAATAGACGTGAAGGCTACCATTGTACAAACCGCCACCTAACGTGTAACCCAAAGTTCCCTGAAGGACCCGACTAAGGGCACGGCTACTCGATCTCCCCTTGGCCACCGCTCCGATGGTCACCCGGCTATCCAGCAAAGACAGAGTGCGAGACGAAGGGTGACGTCGAGCACAGAGCTTCTGGAACGTCTTGAACATCCGCGCCTCCAAGACATTGATGTGCCCCGGGCGCTGAAAACGGTACCTTAAATCTTCGGTGAACTGCAAGCTCTCGGCCAAGTCATTGATCCATTCCGGGTCGTCGTGCCCCGGTCGGGGTTCAAAGTTACAAGTTGGGTCACGGCTGACTTTTCGAACGTCCTCGCGAAGCCTATCGCTCAAACCTGAGGTGAAGCTTAAAGGGAAAACGTCACCGACCCCGCGACTGGCTTCAAGGCTCCCAGCGGCACAAAGACGGAGAAAGGGCAGCGGGTGCTCCGACACGTAACGAGACATGCACTCACCAGCTCGCGGAGCTTTGCCGTACACAGCAAGCGCCGAGGGACGGCACAGGGAATCGAAAGCTGCTGCGCTAGAGGCCGAAAAAGTCCCTTGAACCACAACAAGCTTACGTTCTTTAAAGCAGAGGCATCGATTGGACTGAACCATCCATGGCTTGTTGTGTAGCCACACAGAGCTTCTGCGGCAGGCACTGCCAAAACAACAGGCATGCATCCTGATGAGCTGACCGCCAAGATCCAGCAATCTGCGAAAGCAAGCTAGGCCGAACATGACTGAAGAGCCGGGCTGCGAAATGCTGTAGAACAGGCCGTTGGTGGCTACAACTGACAGGAGCATCGCAATGCGCCTGGCGATCTTGTTGTGCTCCTGTATCTCCGGGTCACCGTTGCGAAACCCCGCCGGAACCCGCTTGGATCTCAAACGAGGTGTGCGCAAACCGCAGAAAGAGAAAGCGGGAGCCGTGATGTGAAAATCTCGAATCACCCTACGCGAAACAAGACCTACCAGTTCAGTCCAAACCTGATCACGGCACAAGTCACCGACCCTGAAACCTAAACCCGAAGGTGAGTCTGTGGCTACTCGGAGCCCGAGCGCTTTATGAGCAGTTCCCCAGGCAGTGGGCCCTTCGCAGAGTTCACAGCAGTCCCACAGGAAGCCTTCAACAAGAGAGGGCTTCAGGGGGAAAGGGTCTCGCACAAGGTGCTCTGAAGAGTCCAGATACTCAACACTGGATTCAAAGCCTTTCTCACGTAGAGCAGCAGTAGCAGGACCCTCCAGCCTCGTATGATAACCTCTCTGCTCAGTGAACCGCCAGAGTTCCTGCACCACAGGTGGAGGAGCATCGCACGAACACAAAGCAGCTCCAGTGGGGCTCGCGTCCATGACAAAGATCTTTGGGCACCACGAGGCTCGAAGATCGGTCTGAAGAACTGGCCCCAGGCAAGCTATGCAGAGCAGCTCGTTACGCGTAAGCCGCGACAACTTGATCACACGAGTCGAAGGCTGCAGGGCGGCATCAGCGAACGCATTGTTGAGGACACAGAACGCCGGCCGTCGGAAGAGAAGCACGTGTATCCAACAACCCAAAAGCGTCTGAAGGAGCTGCGGGGTGCAACTCCCTCGTCTAGCGATTTCGCCTGTGCAAAGCATCAGCACCAGGATTCGGTCAGACGGTGCACTCACGATGCCTTTGTCGCCATCAAACGAAGCTCCGAGCAGCGTCCCCTGAAGCTGGTTGCGCTGGCACTTTACAGGATGTTGCACGAGCTTAACAGCTTTGTAAGCGGCGCTAGCCTGCTCAAAAACAGTGGTGTCCCGCAAACGTTGCCCAGACCTGGCCGCGGACCTTGACAAACACTGGATACCGATGTGGTCGTCGATACACAAGAATTCGAAAAAGGGTCCTCTAGGGAATGGGCGACGAAACGCCACTGTCTCAGTCCGGAGCACGCAGCCTGCGACGGTTCGTAGCACCTCATGATGGCTTTGCTGCGCTAACTCCACTGCCAGCGAGTCACCCATCGCAAGGCAAGAAAGAGCTAAGAAGCACGTGCCAAAATGAACCTTCTTGTCGAACGAAGTCAAATGACTCAGCTCATGCGCCGCAAACGGCATCCCGATGATGTTTCTCTTAGCGCGAGTGGATCCCACTTCTACCGTATAATAGAACTCGGCGAGATCGTCTGCAGCATACCGTGCAACATGGCCGTCAGGAATGTGCAACGCGCAAAGCTGAGCCCCATGACCCAGAAGCTTTGTATAGTCATTCAAAGACTGAATCCTTGAATTGACAACGACTGGATTGAGAATTAACCTATCGAAATCATCATCTTTGGGAACACAGAACAATCCCACGCATTCTTTAAGGTCAGAAATCTCGTTTTTGCGATAGATACGTAAAGCGCCCACTGAATCCCAAGTTTCACCCAAAGCTAACAGTTCACGACGACTGGCATGGACTGGGGCCTTCCTCACTCTGGGCCAGCGTTCTGGAGCCAAGCGAAGAACATTGGGATCACGGAATGCTGCTAACGCCAAGGGGTTTCTAAGGAAAGGTTCGGGATTGAAACTCGGTGCATACTTCCACTTGATACGGGATGCAACGACAGGTTTGCACGCTTGGACTCCTAAAGCACGACGTTCGCCTAAACCTGAAGCTTTGCAGTCACGAGGGGATGTATCGCAATTGTCAGCGGGAACTCTCTTGGGGCTGATTCTCGGCTCTTCGGGCATCGGCTCACAATCCTCAGGAGCACGAGGCTTCGGAGGCCTGGAGTAGGGATCAAGTGAGCGATACACATCATGCAGGATAGGGTCCATGTCCACATCCGGAAGCTCCGGCAGTTCACAGACAAATTTTGCAAGCTGATCGAACTTTCCAGCGCTCCTCCCCAGCTC